TGTATATTTCAAATTTGTGCTATATAAATATATTATAATGTAATATTTATTTATGTAATAAAATTTATAAAACTTGAGATATTTCAATTGTATTACTATTAAAATAACATACAAAAACTGGATTTATTTATTTTATTTGAAAAATAGATCAATAAGCAACTAGTCAGGCGTGTACCACTATAACTAATTTTCTCTACATCGAATTCGATTTTGCTAATAGTATAAATTTGATTCCTAATTGGATGAATCCAGAATTTATATTTCAATTTTAAATATATAAATTTAAAATCTCAATACGCTTATCCTTAACATTTGTATACTATTTGTGAAAATATCATAATGAATTTTGTAGATTGACAAGAAAATATACAAACCATGTTCTAAATTTTTTTTTAATAAATACAAATTTTGTGTATACTTATTCCGTTTGTATATTCGCAAGCATAATATATAAATTACAGCCCACATTTATATGTACTTAATCTGTTTGTATATTTACAAGCAAAATTTACAAACTACGACCTCCATTCTACGACCAACAAATCATAGCTACGGAGCACAATTTTCAAAACTATAGTTGTTGAGTTTTATACTATCTACTATCCTTGCTATTTTTGAGTTTTTTCTGAATTTATTTTTATTTTTATTTTGTTTGAAGCAAGGTGGGGGAAGAAGCCGACTCTTTTTGGGCCCAAAACAGTGATACGTGGGCCACCATTCTGTGATTGGCACCGACTACTGGGCCCTGACTAACCGGCCCATCCAACGCAGGAAGACAATCTGCCCCAATACACCAAGTGGCAACTCTACAATCATAAAATTATTTTTCATATATTTGTTTAAATCTTTTTTTCTTACAATACATAAAACAGTACTTATTACGTGTAGCTCTCACTAGCAGGGGCATAGTTACGTTATATTCTGGCGTTCACTCAGATATTTTTATCGAAAAATAATATCATATATATAGTAAAACAATATTGATTAAAGTAAAAGCGGTAGATTTAGGCCACATAGGGAGTATATTATTTTTAATGCATGGGATTGTGAGAACAATAATAAGTACCTTCAAGTATACCATTTATACATATAATTTAATAACAGAGAAAAGGATAAATATATCTCTAAATTATAGCAAAATGATATATATAAATATTCGCTGTCATACCTTTTGGATATTGATATTCTCTGCCGTTTAAAATTAAGCATATTTATCCTTTACTTTAACAGAAGACGAATTAGGTACATGTGACGCAATACTATGACTCAGTCCGATTGGACCAATTAATTAACTCAATATTCAAATACCCGCCCATGAACCTGTTTAACCCACACGACACCCATTACTCAGACTAATACAATTAGGTAGGACCACTTGTTTAATCTTAATTCACCTAGCTTATTTGTTAATTACTATTGTGTAATTATCTCAAAAACTTAACAGGGACTACTACTTGTTTGATATTATTTTACTTAGCTCATCTATTGATTAATATTATGTAATTAGTTCAAATACTTAACAGACTTAAATCTTCCTTGTTTGACTTATCTTGTTTGAGTGAATTTTTATTTTGTCTTCTTTATTCTTAATGTGAGTACTAACCAATGTATTGTGACACTTTTTCTTTTTTCTTATGATTTCCAAAAATAGGAGTACTTATTAACTAATATGCTTTGATTTTTAGATGGCGGGTATTTATGTTCGAAAAATATGATAAAATGTATTTGTACATCATTTACGATAGTTTAGGGAAATTTGTCATTTTTCCTTTTAATAAGTATAACCTAGTAAAATCAATTTATCTGTCCACTTTCATTTGTTATATTGCACTTTTCAAAAAGTCAACTTGACTAATTTGAAATGTTATATTATATTACATTAATTTAATATTTTAAACAAAAAAATATTATATTGCAATTTTTCGCATATCAATATATTAAAAAATATATTATAAAATGTTAGTCAAAATTATTTAGTTTGACGGTTGAAAAGGAATTCATGACTCTAAAATATTTATTACTATTAATTTACATTTATTGCTATATATAATTGAATTAATTAAGATTTGACTAAAGAATTACAAAACTTAACCCAGAACATGCCTTATAATAATGTGGAAAATATTTGTAATAAATGAATAAATCAACTGGACACATATTCTACTCCTATATAATAAACCAATATTTCTTCCAAATATATTGTGAAGCTCTCAAAATCTTTCAATATTTGGAGATTTTCATAACATTTAACAGTCTTTTCATCTTCTCTAACGCACTTCTTTTGGGTTTTTGTTTATCTACCTTTTCTTCAATGATCGGACTCGGTTTTTTTTTATTGATTAAGTTGAAAAATACATTATTTTACCTTTTTAATTTATTTCGTTCATTTTTTTCCAACTTGGCCAATAAAAAAATCAAAACTGATCGTTGAAGAGGAGCTAGAGAACAAAGAGAAACCGAAAGCGTTGCACTAGAAATATGGAAAAGATTGTTGAATTTTATTATAATCTTCAGTTATTGAAAGAAAAATAAATTACAGCTGAGATAACTAAGAAATAATTAAGAAAGTAGATTTTTTTATTCTTTTTAACGTTATTATTTTGGTATAAAAAAGGACTGACAATTATTATTCTTTTTTTGCAGATTGATTTGCAACAAAGCCTGATAAACGAATGAGCTATACGTAGAATGTCAAAACTTATTAATTTAGCATGGATGATAATCTCTTAATTAGATATACATGATTTGTTTTAGATCAACTTTATTAAACATGTAATTTAAATCCATAAAAAAAAGTAGAAATAAATTGTATTCATTTTCTTCTACAATTTGAGGAGTTGTTGGTATAAAATAATAAATTTTCCAATTGGAGTATCCAGGAGGTTTAATTTTAATTTTTAATTGCAAATGCTTGTAAAATACTTGACTTTATTAGATTCTTATTTTTTCATTTATTTTATTTTTGTGGTCCTATTACAGCTTAGGTGATTCTCCTTTTATATTCTTTATCGAGAAAAAAAGAAATCACAAAATAAACAATTGCTGCTTTAATTCCTCTTTTACTTCTTTGAAGAGCAAACAATTAAATTATGGCTGCCTGAAAAGAAACCTACACCTTTCAAATATATATATGCGCAATATATGGTTATTCGTTTCAAATTAGTTATCATATTTTACTTTTAAAGATTTAAATTACATGAATTTTAATTATTATTTAAAATAATTTGTTCCTTAACTTAATAAGAGAAAAATCACAACCTATACATTAGTATAGTTAAATATTCAAATTGTAATTATAGAATATTAAATTAATCTAATTTTAGCGAAAGTAATTTTTTTTTCTTCTAAGAACCACTTTATTCGATCTTAGGCCTTCTTTTGTAACAAAGGGATAATTTATTACCTAGTACTTATAATATATGTTTCTTTTTACATGTAAAGAGGTACTTAATATTACGCCTTTAAGATTATGTTTAGTTAATCACATTTACGTCTATTTTTACACCTATAAAATCTTAAGAGTTAACATTCATCGTAACTCCACCATTCAATAAGCCAAAACGGATGTATAATTTATTTTTAATCTTAAGGATTTGAAACTGTTTTTTTTTCCACCAAAAATGACATCAAGCTGCAGTACTTCAAACTTCGATGAGCATCGATGGATTATTCAAATCCGTCGAACACTCGATGAAGAACTTGAAGAAGACACTGAAATTCCAGTTAGCATTTTCAATGTACCAAAAGCCCTGTTGCTAAGCAACCAAGATTGTTACGTGCCACAATTGGTGGCAATAGGCCCTTATCACTATTGGCGCTCGGATCTACACGATATGGAGAGGTAAATATTCGAATTTAGAGGTACCAAATGAACGTATTGAATTAAATTTGAGTCTTGATTCGATTTGTTCCTGAATTTGACAAGTCATGTGTAGGCCTTGTTAATAGACAAGTCATATTTCAAATCCGTTTAAAATTTGGGTGGGGTGAACAATTATACTAAACAATTGGTTTAATTTTGCCACTTCAGGTACAAGCTAGCTGCTGCAAAGAGAACTCAGAAACACCTCTATAGCCTCAAATTTCAACATCTCGTTGAACAATTAATAAAATTTGAGCATAGAATTCGTAGTTCGTATCACAAATACTTGAATTTCAATGGTGAAACTTTGGCCTGGATGATGGCGGTGGACGCCTCTTTCTTACTTGAATTCCTTCAAATCTATGCTATCAAAGAAGGTAAAATTCTAACCAGAGTATCCTCAAGAATGTCACATTTGGTTGATGTTGCAGGGAGAAAATCCGCGCATAACGCTATTCTTAGAGATTTAATTATGCTCGAAAATCAGATCCCATTGTTCTTACTAAGAAAAATATTGGAAGTCCAATGTTCATCTTTAGAGTTAGCAGACACAATGTTGATGTCAATGCTAACCGGATTCTGTAAAGAGCTTTCTCCATTCCAAACGACAGACGAATCCCCAAAAGTAAACATCACAGAATGCTCTCACTTGCTAGACTTTTTGTACCAATTCATCGTGCCCAAATTAGACGTAACAACTTCTGAGATAACAGAAGATGATCACGAACAAAGTAGCCCGATTGAAGAAGAAAATATTACTTTAGGTGGAAAATTAAGTCACATCGCACAACTTGTTAATGAAATTTGGAAGATCATTGTGAAAATAAACAGAGGACCAGTACGTTTTCTCAAGAAAATTGTATTTTCCAAACCAATTAAATTCTTATTAAAAGTACCTTGGAAACTTTTTACTAATCTTCCTGTGATTAAACTTTTAATTCAACCAATTACATATTTATTCTTTTCACAAGAAAAAGCAGAGGTAATTTCCGAAAGCAACATGAATAAGCCTCCACTTTTTGAAGAATTAGCCATTCCATCAGTAACAGAGCTTTCTGAATCCGGAGTACATTTCGTAGCCACCAGTGAAGGTATCATGAGCATAAATTTCGACGATACAAATATCAAATTTCATTTGCCTAGAGTCAGTCTAGATGTAAATACAGAGGTAATTTTGAGGAATTTAGTTGCGTATGAGGCATGTAACGCATCAGGGCCATTGGTTTTTACACGTTACACTGAATTGATGAATGGGATTATTGATACCGAAGAAGACGCGGTGTTACTTAGAGAAAAGGGGATAATTTTGAACCGTTTGAAGAGTGATAAAGAAGTTGCGAAGTTGTGGAATGGGATGAGTAGATCGTTGAGATTAACGAAAGTTCCGTTTATTGATAAAGTGATTGAAGATGTGAATGGATTTTATAATGGGAGATGGAGTATTAAGATTGGAAAAATGATGAAGCATTATGTGTTTGGATCATGGCAGTTTCTCACATTCCTGGCTGCTATTATGCTGTTATTGTTGATGACTTTACAAGCGTTTTGTTCCGTGTATAAGTGTGCTCGTATATTTCATACTCAAAATTCTGGGTAGAGATCATACGATCTATGTACATCTTATCTTCTTCAGACCCCACTTGTGAAGCTACACTGGGTAAGTTATAAGAAGTTGTTTAATACTGATGAATGATTCTTTTCTTTTTATTTGTTTTATTGTTAAAGTGTAATATTTATTTCCTTAAGATTAGCCTAAGCACATAAGATAAGAGTAAATAGTTCTTTTTGTGATCAGATGCATTGCTGTTGGTCGAAGAAATGCTAAAGTGAAAGGTGGATTTGTGCAATTGTTTAGAGAAAAAATGCATGGTGCTTTAATAATTATTTATGTTTTTACGAATTTGACGCTCTTATGATCTTTTTCAAGATGCTTTTTCTCCAAGTTTTGGTGTACAGAATAATTTGTTGCTTTTGTTTGTTGATAGAAGGAAATATAACGTACTAACAATTATCCTGTAAAATTAGTCAAAGTGCAAATAAGTTAGCTCAATACCGCGTTTAGAAAAAAAGAATAAGAAAGTAATCTTTAATTCTTTAGCTGTTACAAATGATTTGATTCAAAAGAAATGCGTCCATTGACAATCCGCTATATTATATTCAGTTATAATAATAATATGAGTATTTATAATCTAGCTATATAAATACCACTAGAAACTATAGTAACGGCGGATGCAAAGACATTAACATAACTGTTGCTAAATGCTTTTGCAACAATACTAAAAGATAGTTCATTCAAACTAAATATCTCTTTTGTTATATTGTAAGACGATTAATCGAACTAATAAACCAGAAGATGTTATAGAAAAAGAGTAGCACAGTACATAAGCGCTGGTATCACGTACCTAGCTACAATCAGTAGTAATCAAAATCCATAAGTACGCTTATGGTAAATTTGTATTTTTTGCACTAGATCAAGGAACTAATGGTGGTGAAAAGATTGGAACAAGAGGTGCATTAAATATGGGGACAAGTGGAGGTGGCGGAGAAGGAACTAGTGGTGGTGGGAATATTATAACCGGAGGCCATATTGGTAGAGGTGGCAATGGAACTAGTGGTGGTGGACGGATAATAAACGGAGGACGTCTAGGTGGAGGCGGAGAAGGTACTAGTGGTGGTGGACGGATTATAAATGGGGGACGTCGTGGTGGAGGTGGCGATGGAACTAGTGGTGGTGGACGGATTATAAATGGAGGACGTCGTGGAGGAGGTGGAGAAGGTACTAGTGGTGGTGGATGGATTATTATTGGAGGACGTCTTCGTGGTGGAGGCGGAGACAGAACTAAGGGTGGTGGACAGGTTATTATCGGAGGACGATGTCTTTTTGGTGGATGACGTGGAATTGATCTTCTTCTTCCATGATTGTTTCTCCTTTGGCTGCTCATGAACTTCAACAATTCTTCATTTTTCACTGCATTTTGAACATATTTATCATTTGGATAATCAGTTTTGGCTTCCAAAAAGAGGTTAAATGAGGTAATGAGGAGTAGTAACACTAGCAAGATCAGGCTAATATTAATGTTGAGTTTCATCTAGATCTCGAAGTCTACTTGTTTAACTTTATTTCCTTTTAATTCTCCTCAAATTGTTTGGCTGCGTCATCCATATTGTTCAATTCAATATATATTACCTTTGTGTGGTAAGTAGGTAGAAATTGGCATTGGTACATAAATTGAGAAACGCTGCGTAATTAAATGCAATGCAGGTAATAAGTGTACTCTACCAGACAACCATATATGCAGAGTGCAATAGTAAATGCATGCAAGTCGCAACACTAGTGTCAAGAAATGAGGATTGGATTTGGATGGAGTCTGTTTCAATTTTACTTTAGGACATTGCTTAGTGACGAGGAGATGCATGGATGCACCAGTAAGGAGGTACGAGAGATTAGTTATACGGGTACGATAAGAGGTAGAGGTAGGTCAAAGAAGTATTAGATAGAGGTGATAATATATAATTAAACATGATGCAACTTCAGGTTACAGAAGACATGACCTTAGATAGAAGGGTGTGGAGGACACATATTATAAGGATAGAAGGTTAGTTGGTGTTTGCCACTACACTAGTTGTATTATTGTAGTTCTTATACTTTTTATTTGTAGTACTATTAATAATTATTATAAAATTCGTATATATTTACTTTTTCCATACCTCACTCGTAAAATTTAACAACTTTAACATATTGTTGTTGTTGACATTGTTTAGTGATGGTAAATATCCTTGCACACATGGTGTTTGCGTAGAATTAACCCATGTTTATCTTTACCACCAGTTAAAAATTAAAATGAGGATATACATCACTTAATCCGCCCTCAAAGAGAGCTCTTCACATGTCAGAAGTTGATTAAAGTATCTTTTATTTGAATCTTTAAAAATAAAAATTAATGCCAGATTTGAGTATGTAATATGAGTAAATTTCATATATGGCAGGTCTATATTAAGAATAGTCCAGTATTTCTCCCATAATACTCTTGCAGTTAAATTACTAAAGTACTTACATATAACGTTTAGTGAAACTTAGGGTTTCAAAATATCATTAATTTAGTTTAGTAAAAAGCACACACGTTAACATTCTTTAAGGATTGTATCAAGTCAATATGAATTAAGTAAAAAAAAAGTATGAAATAAAATTGATGTTCTCAGTAGACGTTTAAGTTTATACTCCCTACATTCCATATTAGTTGATTATTATACTCCCTTGTACTAAACATAGTAGTCTCATATTCGTTGAATACTTTACTAAATCAAGAAAACATTAATTATTTTTTTCCTATATTACCATTAGTCCATTACAATTAATTCTTTTATAAAGTATTTATATTTGTTTGTAAAACTTTCAAGAAATTTTTAAGGGGTTAATTTTTAAGTATCGTGTAAAACGAGAAATGACCAACTAATATAGAGCGGAGGGAGTATTTATAGTATTATTAATGATTAAATGGTTAAAAGTCAAAGGGAGACAGATGGTTTAATGAGTGAATGTTGAAGTGAGAAAAGTTGAAGATTGGAGAGGAATGAGGATGCATGGGAACATTAAGTTTGCTGCAAAAGAGTTGGTTGAAAATTAAATGTGCAAAATTGCGTTGCTCTATGTGCCACAATTTGAGTGTAAACGAAGAAGACGCGTATAATTACTATGCATGAGGATAAATGATGGCTAGGATTGTCGTGGTCTCGTGAAATGATAATATATTTTTTTATTTTTAATTAAAGGTTTGAGATTTGAATTTTTTTTATTTAATATCGAATGAAAAACAACAAATAAAAGAAAGAGAGAAATGATGACTCTTTTGGATTTCTCTCTTCTTGACATATTCTTCTATTAATAAATTACGTGGTTAAACAAATATACACTAGCTAATTTGCTAACATAGCTATAATTTGCATTAAATATAATGGGAACTTATGTCCAGCTGTAAGTATATTCTCCTCTCTCTCCTCTCTCCTCTCGCCCTCGTCCCTCGCCCGTCTCTGTTGAATCTCGCTCGCCTCTCTCCTCTTTTTCGGTCATTTCTCCCCCCGTTTCTCTCCTCTCCCTGTCCAATCTCTCCCCCTCTCTCACACACATAAATTATACAAATACAAATGTATAATCTGTGTTTGAATAAAACGAGAGTGACTGGATATACAGATACATACTCTCTCCACCTTATACACTTATAATTATACAAATACAACTCTCTCACTGTCAAATACTCTTGTACCTTTCACCCTCTCTCTTACGTGCGCTTTATACAAAAACAAATGTATAATTTGCGTTTGTATAAAGCGATAGAGACTAGATATACAAATACAAATGTTTGAACTCGTTTCAATTGTATATAATACACATTGACTATAGATACAAATACAATCATTGATACATATACATAGTACTAACATATATACAATCATCTAAGCAATTACAAATACAATACACCTGTCTCCACTTTCCACCCTCCCTGTTTGCTTCTCTCTTCCGTCTAACATGTAGTTACAAAACGTAATTAGTAAACAATTACTATAGAGCTTAACTAAATTATTTTTGAGTGGTTATATGTGAAAGTTCCTCCCTAATAGCTACGAAAATTTGGAAACGGGTTAGTTTGGTCCAAAACCGTTTAAGAGAGCCCAACTATAAAATTCAGCCCAGAAAGGAGGTCCAATTACCGTGTTTGCTGCGACAGAAACAGCGACCCAATATGAACCATTTCATTTAAAATTAGGAAAATCAAATTTCTAATTCATTACTCATTAGCAGTGGTGCAATTATGATTTTTAATAAGGAGTTTAATATTTGAACTCCGAAGAACTAAGCATACGAACTAATCAAACGAGATTTAACATCTATTATATATACATAAAAAAATAATTTTAATCATATATAAATAGTAATATTTCGAATGAACCACTTATAGAAGGGTGACACCGCCCCTGCTCACAGCGCATTAGCAATGTAATCCTTTTGACGTGTTGGTTGGACTTTGGAGTAAAAAAAAAGAAGAAAAGGAAAAAATGAACTTAAATTATTGTCTATCTAAGTGCTTAAATTTGAAATAGCCAATAAGTATATAACTAATATGTATATAGTATGCATATAACTTTGTATATTTTATATATGTAAGCTAGTAAAAGTAGACAAATGAATATATAAAGATTTTTGCAAACTAATTAATATCCGGTTTGGCCAAACTCTTATGAAGCCAAAAATACTTGTTCAAAAAAGTAAGGTGTTTGGCCAAAGTTTCGAGAGAAAATACATCTCTTGAGAAGAGCAGAAGTTATATTTAGCGAAAAAATAATTTTTTTCCAAAAAAAAATAATACTTAGATACACTTTATAAATCTTCTTACTTCTACTTAATGACACTTTTTAGTGACAACGTGTTATTGTCTTGTTTTCATCCCATAGCTATGACATTTCCTCGTTTTGTCATGTCATTTAAATTCAATGAATGAGAAAACAACAAAAGAACGTGCTTGGGAAAACAATCAAACAACCCCGTTTCAACAGTATATGGTACCTGCTGAACTTAGAAATAATTTAAGTAATATACGCTGTCAATATAATTTTTTATTAATGTAATCAAATAATCTTTATTTGTTATAATTGTAGAGTATTATACTGTACTTTGAAATTGCAAATATCACATTTAACAAAAAAAAAAATATAGTTTCATATAAAAAAATTAGTATTATTAACTTTTTTATTTTATACTAATGATATATATATAACTTAAACTCGAAATAAAATACGTAAATACCATGTGCGGGGAGCTTTAGAGAACATGGGTTTTGCACATGTGATGAGATATGGGACTTAGGAGCAGACAATACTTGCCCAATTCTAACTGTTCATCAGTCAACACTTATCACCGGCCCACATCTGCTCCACATATTGTTCAAGTCTAGATATTTCATCTGATGCGTAGATAATTTTATTATAAATTTTTAATATTGAAAAAAATAAAATTTAAATTCGATCATACTATAATAACACGTGAAAGAAATAAATCTTATTAATTTAACTTAATTTTGAAAAATCGATCGTTTTAAAAATTTGTTTAAATCATATTAATAAAATTACTCCTTTCTTAAATCGCAAAAATATAACGTTTCACCCTTTATTTTTTTTTATTAAAAAACTAGAGGGAATATATGGATCAGATCAGAAAATAGAAAAGCGAAAGACTATGTTGGGATTTTAATGTTAAGAAAGAAGTAGAACGTATTTAACTTTGTCCATTAATAATAACTTTACTTTAGACCTTTCTAGTATTATTTGGCTGCGTTTAAAAATAGATATACATTTTTATTTATTAAATTTAAAAATTAATGAGACTTTATTTTTTTATTTACTCTTATTATAAGGATAGTTTGTTTTTTTGATACATTTCTCAAAGAATATTATATTAATTATATTTAAAGGTTATAGGTAAAAAGCACAAATAGTCTCTCAATTTATGTTCGAAATCTCAGAGAGATACTTATATTATACTAAGGTCCTATTATTTCTTGAATTTATTTTATAAGTAATTTTCTATTTTTTTCGGCCTGTGTGATAAAAAAAAGTCAACCAGCGTTAAACCCACAAGATAGTTTATTAATTTTAAAAGTAGTTTGTGTATTAATTAATGTTTGACAGTTGTTTCTAATCGAGTATAGTTTTTAAAAAGTCTTTCTCTTAAATAAGTACTTTGGAAGAAAAAAAATGACTATTTTTATCTTTTGAAAAAACAACTAATGCTGCTACTCAGAAAATTTATTCTTTTCCTAAAAACTAAGTCGAACACTTCAATTTTTCCTCCCAAAAACTTGGACAAATATTTCATATATAGGAGGTCAACCAAATTAATG